AAGCAAAAAGAAAAAAGCTGGAAGTGGCGCTGTGGCTCAAGTGGTAGAGCACTAGCCTTGAGCTGAAGAGCTGAGGGACAGTGACCAGGCCCAGAATTCAGGCCCCACGACCGGATCAAAAAAAAAGAACAAGAAATACGAACAGTTAGCAAACAATAGCCTGTGTACAGACAGAGTAAATGCGCAAAAGTATTTCTTTAGGTCACAAGGAGCCTGACTTACTAATAAAAAGCCTCTCTCAATAGTGAGGCAGGAAACTCTGTATCTCTAAGAATTCCATATAAAGCATGTGAGTAGTCCTAGCTAGAATGTGTGCTTTATTCCTAGAATACAATATTGGCTCGTCTATCACCCATGCTGCATGCTGGGTATCTTGGGACACGGTGCTGCTGGCCCATTCGAGTGAGTGAAGCTCGGTGAGCCGTGACAGCGTCAGCAAGGACTCACTGGGCCCTGAAGACTCCCGTCTTCCCGGTCGATACTGCCTCGGGAGAGCCTCACGTCAGGTTTCTAGAAAAACAAAAACAACTTCATTTTTTCTTTGAAAGCTACTGACAGTCCTGATGGTCTAAATTAAATAATCTCCTCCGGTAGCATATCTGTCCTCTGTTACCACAGCCTCCCAACTTCCTGCCCCTGCCCTGATGGTCTTTCAGTAAAGCACTTTCCCACTGCCTTGCCTTTGTGCTCCCAAGTTTGACTGATCCTGCCCTTCAGGTTAACATCGGATAAGCCCAAATTTCATTGCCTTTTTCTTCTCTTTGTTGCTGAGGACTGAAACCAGGTCTTTGCTCATGTCAGGCAAGTTTTCCACCATTGGGCTATACTCCACTCACTGTGCTAATCTTTTTTTTTTTTGCCTGTCCTGGGGCTTGAACTCAGGGCCTGAGTGCTGTCCCTGAGCCTCTCTGTGCTCAAGGCTAGCACTCTACCTCTGGAGCCACAGCACCACTTCCGGCTTTTTCTGTATATGTGGTGCTGAGGAAATGAACCCAGGGCTTCATGCATGCAAGGCAAGCATCTACCACTAGGCGACATTCCTAGCCCCATCTTATATTTAAAAGACTGTTTCTTTTGGTGCTGGATTTGATGTGAGGGCCTTGTGCCAAACAGGCAGGCATTTTATCACTTGAGATATATCCCCAGCACTTTTTTTTTTTCTTTTGGTCCAGTCGTGGGGCCTGAACTCTGGGCCTGGGCGCTGTCCCTCAGCTCTTCAGCTCAAGGCTAGCGCTCTACCACTTGAGCCACAGCACCACTTCCGGCTTTTTTTTCTGCTTATGTGGTGCTGAGGAATGGAACCCAGGGCCTCATGCATGCAAGGCAAGCACTCTACCACTGAGCCACCTTCCCAGCCCAGTAGCTGAGTTTTCTCAGTGTTTCATGTTGGTCCTTGGCAGAAGCAGCCAGAGGTATTGGGAGGCCATAAAGAAACTCCCCCAAACACACAGGTGCATGCGCATGGCTCTGGAAGAGTCCATCAATGCAGACGAAGACAGACCAGGGGCTCCCTCCTCTCTGTACCCATCACCACCCGAATCCTCTAGCACTTGAGAGAAGCCATGTGCTTTAACTCAGGAATGAAGAGGCAGGTGCCAGAATCCAAATGTCAGCGGGTCTCAGAAGGGACCCTGGAGTACAAGAGTCTGCTGCCCTAGCCTGGTCCCTGGGGCCACAATCTTGAGGTGGCCCATACACATGGGAATACCCACAACTCAGTGCTAAGTCAACTGCAACAAGTAGTTCACAGACACAACATAGACAGCCTGGTACAACAGGAGTGGCACACAGCCATGAAAAGCATTTTACGAGGGGTGCCAGCATCAGGGCTTGAACTAAAGGCCTTGCACTCTAGCTCATTTTTCTTGCTCTGGGCCTCCAGCCTGACTTTTTGCTGGTTAACTGGAGAGACAATCTCATAGGCCTTTCTACCTGGCTAGCTTTGAACTCCAGCCTCCTGTAGCTAGGATTACAGGCATGAGTCATTGGGGTCCAGCTGTAAAAATATATGTATGTATTTGTGTGTGTGTGTGTGTGTGTGTGTGTATGTACACAAACATTGCAGCTGAGCCTTGTGTACTGGTGGATTTTAATGCAGGAAAGGAGGGATTCGATTGGATTTTACAGATTGCTATAGTTGTGGTGTACAATTCAGATTAGAAGAAATAAAATTTCAGATTTAATCTCAACTTAAAATATCTAAGCCAAATGCTTCCATTTACTTGCTCTAGGCTTCACTCCCACTTTGCCCTCCTCCTGTCTCCTCACTCTCCTCTGTGGAGTTATGAGCACCCACCTGGAACTCACCGGTCTTGACTTCCTCCTCCTCGCCTATGCTCAGCTGCCATGCGACCTCCTCAACCCAGCTCCTCCCTGAACTACAGGTTCTTTCTATTTATTTTTGTGGCTTGAACTCGGGACCTCGTGCTTTTGGCTGGCTTTTTGGCTTAAGGCTAGCACTACAATACCTACACTTTCAGCTTCTATGTGTGTGCGTGCTGGCCAGTCCTGGGGCTTGAACTCAGGGCCTGGGCACTGTCCTTGAGCTTTGTTGCTCAGGGCTGGCACTCTACTACCTGAGCCACAGCTCCATTTCCAGCTTTTTGGTGGTTGACTAGAGACAATGTGAGTCTCATAGACTTTCATATTCTGCTTCTAGAAGTATTAGTAGTTTTGACTCTAGGATGCCGTTAGAGTATTATGAAACGTGATGTGGATCAGGTATGTCATTAACTTTCTAGGAATTAAGAAACATTGAATTAATTCTGAGACACACATGGTCCAGCCCTTAAAGGGTTAGGACAAAGGATTCCTCTCAAGGTGATTGTGAATACTGAGTAACTTCAGATAGAAAACAATGTCAATGTTGTGTATGGCAGCAATACTGAAACTCTTGCTTGTTGCCTTATTCTTTTCTGTCACCTTTCACAAGGGTGTGTGTTTAGTAAGGACACTTTGTCCTGAATGGGGTACACATGTAATGGCTGAGACATAAAATGAGTTTTCTTGTGGGTGTGCCCCAAGACCTCCTGGGGAGTCCTACCAAGTGCACTGGCCACCTCCACAGGACAGAGTGCTCCATCACCCAGAGTGTGTAAGGTGTTTAAAAGTGCAAGGCAAGAAATCAAAGTTTTGTATAGCCAAGTTGAAGTTGGAATCACACCTTGATCCTTGATTAATCTGACAAAACACTGTTTGAAACCATTGATTTAAAGGTCTTATACTATTTTTTGTTGTTGTTGGTCCTGGGGCTTGAACTCAGGGCCTGGTGGTTACCCTTGAGTTCTTTTGCTCAAGGCTAGTACTCTACCACTCTGAACCACAGCACTACTTCTTAACGGTCTCAAGTCAGGTTAGGAACAGGAACAGGCTCCTGCTGGAGTCTGATTCTTGACATTTCACCTACACAGAGCTGGCATTTGAGAATGCCGGCTGAACTGAAGCAAGGGGAGCCAGATCTGGACTCCTCAGGTACAGCAACCAACTAAGCTTTTGTGGAGGCAGCAGGAAATCCAGCTCCCTCCAGCCACAGTTCTTTCCAGATTTGAAGGGGAGTAGACAATAAGTTCCCAGAGGTCCCAGTTCAGAGGGTGATGATGAGTCTAAAAGAACATTTGGGTGTATGAATAAACAACGTTTCCTTCTCTACCTACCACTTCCTCTCTGTCCCCAAGGGACTTCTGAAGGGGGTTGTTGATAAGGGCTATGTAAAGAACACAATTCCTATCCCTGAGTCCAAACACACTGGAAAGGGGAATTGTACCTGTCAGACAATGCTGCAAAAGGACCTCAGAAAGGTAGTTTTTATCACATCATATGGGATTGCAATGCAATTATTTTATGTTCACGTTGACACTTAAGTTGTAGTCTTTTCTGCATAAACAAGGAATGAAAAACAACAAAAACCACAGAAATGCTCTCAGCTCTAATGTATGACAAAATCTTAAAAAAGGATTCCTAACTAAACACACATTTTCCCTATGATGCTACTTCTCGGCAACTACCCAGAATCTCACAAGCCAGGGTACTGTGAGGACACTTGTACATCCATGCTCACTGCCGCACTATTCACAATAGCCAAGTATGGAAACAGCCCAGATGCCCTACAATAGACGAGTAGATCCAAAAAATGCGGTACCTATACACAGTGGAATTTTACACAGCTGTTATGTCATTTGCAGGGAAATGGATGGACCTAGAACAAATCAAGTTAAGTGAGGTAAGCCAAGCTCAGAGAGGCAAATGGCACGTTTTCTCCCATATGCGGAAGCTAGATCTAAAATACACCAGGGCATGATAAATTATACAGGACTCTGGGCATTCACTATGAGATCAAAGGAGGACACTCTTTTTTTGGGGGGAGGGGTCTGGTCATGGGGCCTGAACTCTGGGCCTGGGTGCTGTCCCTCAGCTCTTCAGCTCAAGGCTAGCGCTCTACCACTGGAGCCACAGCGCCACTTCTGGCTTTTTTCATTTTGCTTATGTGGTGGTGCTGAGGAATTGAACCTAGGGCCTCAGGCATGCAAGGCATGTGCTCTACCACTGAGCCATCTTCCCAGCCCCAAAGGAGGACACTCTTTTTTTTTTTTTTTGGGTCTGGTTGTGGGGCCTGAACTCTGGGCCTGGGCACTGTCCCTCAGCTCTTCAGCTCAAGGCTAGTACTCTACCACTTGAGCCACAGCGCCACTTCTGGCTTTTTCTTTTTGCTTATGTGGTACTGAGGAATCGAACCCAGGGCCTCAGGCATGCAAGGCAAGCGCTCTACCACTGAGCCACTTTCCCAGCCCAGGAGGACACTCTTAAGGGAGGAATATAAAGGTACAATACCTATGTGCCTCTGATGATATAAAGTAATATTTATCAAAATGAATTCCAGGAAATGGAAACAAGCTTTCTCTTTGTTGTTTTTTTTTTTCTTTTTGTCTTGTTTGTTCCTTGTATCCTTTGTCTTTGGGAGGGTAAGTGGAGCGGCACAGAAGTGGAAGAACAAAGGATGAACAAACACAGCCGTGGTACTCACTAGACATTATGCTGAAAATGAACTATACAACTTGTGGGTGGGGATGGGAGGGGAAACTGGCAGAGAGTGGGGGCAGGGGTGACACTGTCCAAAAAGAAATGCACACATTACCTGACTTATTGAACTGTAACCCCTCTGTACCTCACCTTTATAATAATAATGAAAAAACCTGGTTCCTAAAATATAATTAAGAAGCTGGGTGCTGATGGCTCATGCTTGTAATCCTAGCTACTCAGGAAATCAGACAACAGTGGTTCAAAACCATCCCAGGCAAGGAAGTCTATGAGACATTTGTTTATTTCCAATTAACTACCAAAAAGCCAGAAATAGAGCTGTAGCTCAAGTGACAGAGCACCAGCCTTGTAAACAAAAGTGACAGAGAAAGAAAGAAAGAAAGAAAGAAAGAAAGAAAGAAAGAAAGAAAGAAAGAAAGAAAGAAAGAAAGGAAGGAAGGAAGGAAGGAAGGAAGGAAGGAGAGAAAAGCGGACCACAGTCGCTCATTCCTGTAATCCCAGCTACTCAGGAGGTAGAGGATTTAGGAAGACAATGGCAAAAAGTTCATGAAATCTCATTTCAACCAGTAAAAGCTGGAAACAAAAATAGGAGGATCACGACCTAGGATAGCCTGGGAATAAATGCCAACAAGGTCCTATTTGAAAAGTAACTAAGAAAAAAGGGGCAGGGAGCTTGGATCAAATGGTAGAACTGCCTAGCATGGGCAAGGCTGGAGTTTAATCCATTATACTGCTCCCACCACCCCCCCCAAAAAAAAACCTAGAATGACAACAACAAAAAGTCACAAAAATGAAAATAACTGAGCTGAAGGCATGGCTCAAGTAGTAGAAATGCAAATAACACTTACTTTAGTTTTGAGAGACCAGATATAAAACTAATTCCTCTGCATTGGAAAATGGTTTTATAATAATCCCAAGTAGCACAGTAACTTAACAGGGTTTAAAAAGTGGAAGAAACTGCTCAGGAACACAATTACCAGAAATCTCTCCTCTTTTTCCAGCCAGCGTTGATCTTCTTCCATTTCCTGCTGCTGTCGGATCAACCGCTCTTCCATCAGGTGGGTGGGTAGCACTTGCCCGATGCCTCGCAGGTCCAAGACTGCTGAGTCCTAGGAGGAGGAATGGAAACAGCATTTCCAGTCTCATGAGTCTGTCTGTGTTGTGTGCCATCCAAAATAGTGAAACAAAACAGAAAAAAAAAATGGTGGGAATAATGCTGTTCCTATTCTAGCTACTTTCTGCAAACTAAAATTTATTGGGTTGGTTCTAAAGAAATGATCTACTGGGATCATATAGCTAGAAGGGGTGGTGCACATCTGTAATCCCAGCTACTTGGGAGGCAGAGACAGCAGGAAAGAGTTCCAGGCCAGCTGGTGAAAAGTTAGTGAGACCCTATCCCAATATAAACCCCAAGAGGAACTAGAGCTTAAGTAGTACAGCGCTTGTCCAGCAAGCTCAGGTTTAAGGCCCTGGGCTCAATCCTTAGTACAACAAAAATGGGAAAGAGGAGAGGAAGAGGAGAGACAAGGAAAGCGAGACAAGAGAGAGAGAGAGAGAGAGAAAATCTAAGATGTGCAAAGAATGCAATATTTCTTACAGTAAAACCATAGAAACACCTTGAAGCAGAGTAACAAGAGTTAAGTATGATACATACATCCTAGAGAATATAAAATAGTCATTGAACATACTTTAAGAAAAAGAACAAAAGTAAAACTATGGATACTCTTTAATCCAAATAATTTTTAATATCATAAACCAGGTCTTTTATTTTACCAGGCAAGTTGCATAAAACACAACATGGTCCACAGAACTGATGGTCTACCTGATTTTTTCTTTGGCTTCATGTATATATTTATTATATCCAGTTTAAGGCTCTGCCTTTTAAACAAATGGATTATGATTGTAGCATTTCTTTTAGTGAAAAAAAATTCCACAAAACCACAAAACATGAGAGTAGATGTGCCTTAAGCCTCCTTTATAAGTTAACAAACTGAAAGCCAAGAACATCCAATTTACCTCCATGTTGGGCTGCCACATGGATATCTCTTGAGGTCTATGATTCCATGACTCTGTCTGGTCCAGAAGAGATGCTTGGCCTGGGTAGATGCTGCCGGCCATGGCTGTGATTCCATGTGAACCAGGGTAGCCAGAGACCTGAAAGTGTTATGCAAGGTAAGATTTGGTCACAACACAGCTTTAGCATGGTCCTGCTCTGCATGTGAAACAAAGTTACAGAAAACATGGTGGTCTAGAATAATTGCCCAAGTTCAAGGTCTAATCTCTAATCTCCTGAACATCTTAGTATGTTCTCTGGCATGGCAGCTATGACCAACTCATGACACTGAGTGGTGCATCTACCATAATTACAAGTGTTCCTAAGTGCAGGATTTAGAATGGATGTGATCTAACACTGCCCACTTTGTGCATTATGGGGACTGGTGTCAAGGAATGTAGATGGCTTACAGAAGATAGTAGGGAAAAAAAAAGAGATTTTCACTGAAATCTTCAGGAGAGGCAATTTTCTGTAGCTCCATTAGATAAATAACACAAATATGTACTATAAGATAAGAAATTACTTTGGAATTATACATTTATGGACATGCTCAGAGCAGACTACCTCTGGATACAAAAGCACCAGGAAATCCCCAAAACAGATGCACCATGCTCACCTCTAGAACTCTTCTTTCTTGCAGAACTCACCAACAAGAGCAGCCCCAACAAGAGCCAAGAAAAACACAAAACCCCTGTTGGGCTGGTGGTATGACATGCCATATCTCTACTCTGGAGGTTGAGGCACGATTCCAAGTTCAAGGCCAGTCTGGGCTACTTACTGAGACTGTCTCAAAATGCAACCATGCAATGGCCTCCCTCATGGAACCTCAAGTAGGAGCTGATGGTGGGAAAGGTCATGTCTTCTGATTCTGACAGAGGTGACTAAGGCAGAGGTTAGTGGGACAGGAGGAGAAATCCAGGCAGCAGGGGAACAAAGGGTTTCTCTTGACTCAGGATCAAGTGAGCAGAATAAAGGATAGTATGGATGGGCCTGCCAGTTACTTTCACATTGAGATAAAGCATAGTCAATCCATCTTCCCAAACATCAGTATAAAATATCCTTCAGCAAAAAGTTTCACATATGTATTAGGTTTCTAGGCATTGATTTATACCAAAACTTCTTATCTAATTAATAAACTATCAAGCAACCTATATGGAGAGGTCTGCTTATTTGAATAATAAAGACTAGATTAATAAAAATTTTACCAAATGCAAACTACTATACCACTACTATCTTTGTGAGAAGTGACATAGTGATGCCAGAGAACTTTCAGAATGTTCACAGTGAGTTTTCAAATGACTGAGAGCAGGGTGCGTTCATGCATGCATGCATGCATGCATGCATGTGTGTGTGTGTGTACCTTAGTGTGCTAGGCTGAAAAAGAACACAGTTAACACCAGGAAATTTTCCAATTGGTCTTATCAACCAGGTAAGAAAACAGGCTTAGAAAGGCAAATCATATATTTTGGCAAAAAAAAAAAAAATTACTCTGTTCTAAAACATTTAGGGTGGAAACCCAGCCCCGTCTTCAGGGACTGCTGTAGTGGGGTCAGCCAACCATAACACATGTGCTTGGGTCCTAAGCAGAAGGCGTGCTGGGCTGTACCCTGACCTTACCATGCTACCTGCAGACCTGCCAGGTGATAGCAGGGCTCTGACAGCTGTATAAGGAATGGATAGGACTGCCACTCAATTCCCACTTGGGGCCAGCTGAGCTTTGACTTCAGTGTGGCCAAGCACTAACCCTGGGACTTTCCCCTGGCTGACACTGTACCATCTGCTGGAGTACAAGGTCTTTTGACAGTCAGACACGGGTTTTCCTCTTGGGCTGTCCACATAGTTCCTGCTGTTCTGATTACTGATCATCCTGGCCAGGGGCCCCTGTGATCTGTCACAAAATGACAGTTCTGTAGCCAGTGCCCGGATGGTAGTTGGATAAACAACCTGGAAACTGAAGGGATCTATTGCAGCTGATTATCTCAGAGCTGGATCTCCTAAAACATGGGTCTGAGCCACTTGCCTAGAACTACTGAAGCTGTTTGAAAGCAATGCTCTATTTCTGAACTAGTAAATAGAATTCTAGTATATAGGAGGTAATAGTACAAAGCTTGAAACTTACCCAGGTCTACTGCTAAACAACCATGAACATACAGTGTAGACTTTTCTAGTAATACCTTCTCTCTTGGTATTATAGTACCAAGTATTGACTAACAATAGCTATGAATTTCTGCCCATATTGGCCTAAGAGGTCCCTAATCCTGAGGGAGGAATGTACTGAGCCCCCCTTAGCAGTACTTGACTCTTGCAGACTTTATCCTTCCCTAAAAACCAAAAACTACTACTCTGTTCTAGGTCCCTTCTCCAAGGATGGCCTTATCTTACTCTGTGAAGAAGTCTGCCTGCAACTTCAACACTCCTTCCACACTTATAAACAAGGCCACTCATATGGCTTCTGCAACGGTACTTTAAAATTTTACTTTTGCCTTCTAGAAAAACTGCAGTTTGGCATTCCCTCTGCACACTGTGTGTCACTGGCTCCTCCTTGCCCAGTTCAAGAGCCGGTGGGAAAGATCAGGTCTAACAACTGAGGGCTGCACTGTCCTGCCTGCTTTGAGACCATGTGAGTTGTGAAGACCCTCGGTGCAGGTTGATAGGCCTCTGTAGGTTTCTGCTCACCAAAATAAATATATAAGAAAATAGAAGTAAGTCTAATGTACATCTCTACCATCCAGAGTACAGAGGAATTAAGAACAACACAGTTAGACAATAACACAGCAACAATCTGTATACCTGATAATGATTGGTCTGTACCATGTGCTGAGGGCTGGGGTAAAATCCTTCACTGGATCTTGGACTAGGATAACCAGGCCTACTGGGCTGTGAAAATCAACAGAGCACCATGTAAATGATTTGGGTGATTTCTCTAAAACAGCATGATTGAAATCATATTTCAATAGGGAAAAGAACATTTTAATAATGCTGGGTAAGTGGATATTCACATGAAAACACTTCAATCTCTTTTTCAGATAAACCTTAAATATAAGTACTAAAACTATGATTAATAGGAAGACATGTAAGAGATGAGCTTGGGTGAGACAGTGGTTTATTGGCTAACATGCCAAAAATACAACGGGCAAAAGAAAAAAAGATCAACCGGCCACCGTCAAAATTAAAAATCTTTATGTTCCGAGTGATTCCAACAAAAGTCAAAAGAGTGTCTAAAGAATGTAGGAGTAGCCGGGTGCTGGTGGCTCACGCCTGTAATCCTAGCTACTCAGGAGGCTGAGATCTGAGGATCGCAGTTCAAAGCCAGCCCGGGCAAGAGAGACCGTGAGACTCCTATCTCCAATAAACCACCAGAAAATGGGAAGCGGCGCTGTAGCTCAAGTGGTAGAGCGCTCGCCTTGAGCTGAAGAGCTGAGGGACAGCGCCCAAGCCCAGAGTTCAAGCCCCAGGACTGACAAAAAAAAAAAAAAAGAATGTAGGAGTGCCATTCATTTATCAGATGTGAGAGTCATATAGGAATGCACAGAGATTTTACAGGTTGGAGCTCAAGTGATGCCATCAATTAAAAAGGGCACAGCTGGTACTGTGCGTTTGTGGCCAGGAAGGGTCATCAAGACAGACCCAGGCTCCAAAGCAAGTCTCTAAGCAGGCAAAATTAAAGGTTGTTACTGTAAACATCAGATTAGTGTGCAGGGCTGCTATGGAGCAGAACACTTAGGGATTTTGGGGTGCAGCATGTTTCTTCCAGCAATACTGTTCAAATTCTTAAACAGGCAGACAATAGCATTTGCTTATTACTCAGGAGGCAGGAGGTAGGAACATCATGGCCCAAGGCTGGTTTGGGCAAAACCCATGAGACCTTGCCTGTAAATACTAGCTAGCAAGAAGGCAAAGATCTGGGGATTGAGGTTTGAAGCTAGCCAGGAAGATCTTTGTGAATCTTTCTTTTTTTTGCTAGTCCTGGGGCTAGAACTCAGGGCCTGGGCACTGTCCCTGAACTTTTTGCTCAAGGCTAGCATTCTACCACTGAGCCATAGCACCACTTCTAGCTTTTTCTATTTATGTGATACTTAGAAATCGAACCTAGTGCTTCATGTATGCTAGGCAGCACTCTGCCACAAAGCCACATTCCCAGCCCCTCTTTGTGATTCTTATCTCTAATTAAAGCTGGAAGTGGAGTATTAATGCCACAATTTCACAAAGGAAAGGAAAGGAAGGAATGGAGAGACGCTGTGTCCAGTCACCAGGTTATAAGAACAGCCTGGATGAACAGACTTGCTTCACTTCAAGGTTCTTAATGTCTCTTGTTTGAACAATCCTGCAGCTGTCATGGAATTAAAACACAGGCAAACTGGTAAACATATCAGAGGACCTTAGGTAAGATAATGAGTGGTTCATGTGTCGTCTGTGGGCAACTAAGAATGCTTTCTGTTGTTCTTTAGGAATGACAAAGGAATGTTCTCTTTTCCTCACTGCCTGACTCAAAGCCCTCCCTTCCCGCCCTGCAGATGGTATGGTCTTCTTCCTCTGCAGAGGGGCTGGGGAGAGGCACCTTTTGCCTCTGCCCTGCTGCAAGTAGCAGTAGCCGAGAAGGCAAGCCTTTGAGTATCATGATTAAAACTACAATTGCTACAGTACTTAAAACAGTTCTTTGTGCTGACATTTATGAATATATTTCAAAAAAGCTATTAAACTTACATTATTAGTTATTAAATAGTCAATAATTTAGCTATAAAGAACACTATTACTATTTTACTTCCTAGAAAGAGGTCTGAATTGGATTATCTATGTGAAAATACTACTTTTTCAAAAACAAATGTTGTATAAAGACCTTCTGTTGTTGTTGTTCCTTTGACCTGGCCCTGGGACCTACCTGTCTCTGAGCTTTTTTGCTGAAGGCTAGCACTCTGCCACTTGAGCCACACAGCTTCATTTCTGACTTTTTGGCAGTTAATAGGAGAGAAGAGTCTCATGGACTTTCCTGCCCAGGCTGGTTTCAAACCATGATCCTCAGGTCTCAGTAAGCCTCCTGAGTGGATAGGATTACAGGCATGACCCTCAGAGGCCCAGCTTATTAAGGCTTCTTAATCCAAGAAAAGTGTTTAGGCCATCTCAGTAAAAATCCCTAGCCACTGTTCAGATTATAAAATGTTGTGGTTGCTCTCGTCATGTAGGAGGGGAGGTGAGAAGGGTTGTGGGGGCACATGGGCAGGCAGGGCGTGAGGGCATCATGCCTGGACATAAAAAGGAGATGAGCTTTTCCCCTGACAAACAGCACAGCCACATACTAGAAAAAGGTAGAAAATGTGCACAAAATCCCAACCCAACCAAACTAAACCACAGTGAATGTGATCAGATGGAAGTAGACTCTACTTAAGCCTCACTATGGAGGCTTCTAGAAGGGAGGACGAGAGAGAAAGCAAGAATGTAAATAAAATCATGTCTATTCTGACTGTTCTTGTCCAGCTCAAATCAAAACACAAATTAGGAAAAGAGTACACAGGGTGGCAATCTATCAAGGAGGAGCAATTAAGAAACATGTTATAACTACTGTCAGGGTAACCTGAGACTAGATTTCCTCCTTTTGAAAACAGTTCTCTACACCATCCAGTGTAGGAGTTAGTTTAAGAGGAACCCCAAAGTTGGGGTGGGGACCTTGGCTACCTTGGGCGGTGCTTCATCAGACCCTCCAGAGTCCCAAGACACGGTGGCCTGTCTTCTGGATTCCATCCTCATTCGTTCTTCTTGCTGAGCTTTTTCCTCTTCCAGGATTGTGCTAGAGAAACAAGGCATTGTGTTAAGGGGGTCTACAACCAGAATCACACATTAGACCCCTCCTTAACCCATACAAAGGATGCCAGTTGGCTCCCAGTAGAAAATAACCAAAAGGAAAGGAGCTCACACATAGGGAGAAAAAAAAATCAGGTTTCTAACCCTTCACAAGATGATTCTAGAACAGCCACAGTCCCTATCAGAAAGTTCATTTAAAGCATAGCCAGAGGTTAAGAAAGGAGTTGGTGAAAATGAAGAAAAGGCTAAGATGAAATGTTTGTATGCTCTGAGCCAAACACAAAGTCCCTGAGAAATCCTAAGCAGCCCTTTCCCAAGCGTCTACCTGCCTGTCTATAACAGACTCTTCACACAAACACAGACTCCCGCACATGACGTGAGCAGTCAGTAAGGGGGGGCCAATAACCTCTCCAGCTTGCTCAGTACAGTTAAGTTCACACTAACTTTCAGTCTAACCAGTACCTTATCTGACCAAAAAAAAAAAAAAAAAAAGAAGATGCCACAGTATTTGCAGGTGCTTCTACCCTTTGTTCTCAGCTGGAAGCGCCACACTTACCAACGGCTGGGCTGTTCAGGGGTATGTGAAGTCCCACATGTCGCCGTGGCCGCCCTAGCCTCCACAGCCTCCACAGCTTTGCTGGGCGGCTTCTCAGTCCTGGCCGTTTGCCAGCCTGTAAACTCCTCAGAATGGAGCCAAGGGAGAGTCAGCTAGCTTCCCATTCCACACCGACTCCCTGGGGCTCAGCGAGGAGAGGGGGTGGGTCTTTGAAACTTTCTCCTAACTGTGCCAATAACTGGCTCTTTCCTACATGCCTGCAACTCAGATTCCTGATAGTGAGGCTCATTCAGAGTTTCTGGCCCCTGGCAGACAGAATCACTCAGGAAACAGTGACATCAACCACACTGACTCCTTCTGATCTGGGAATCTGCTCCACTGTTTGAAAAGACACTCCTGTTGCTGGCTGGAGGCTGTTCCTCTCATAGTCACCTTCTGAGTCAAGAAGACAAATTCATTTCATAACTGCTCCAAGTGAGCAAGCTAGCATTGAATAGGTTAAGGACATTTTCCCCATAAGGAAAGAGAATAATGTTCTGCTCAAAGACACAGATCCTGTAACCACTTTTTTTTTTTTTTTTTTGGCCAGTCCTGGGGCTTGAATTCAGGGCCTGAGCACTGTCTCTGAGCCTCTCTATGCTCAAGGCTAGTGCTCTACCACTTGAGCCTCAGCGCCACTTCTGGCCTTCTCTGTTTATGTGGTACTGAGGAATTGAAGCCAGGGCTTCATGCATGCTAGGTAAGCATTCTACTACTAAGCCACCTTCTCGGCCCTCCATTACCACTTTAAAGGAAAGCTTCCAGTCCAGAAAACCCATCTCCTCCACAAAGTAAGACTTTTTTCTTGCTCAAGTTAGCTGGTTGTGGTGGAGTAAATTAATAACAATGTTTAAGCATTCACTTCTCAGAAACTGGAGGAAAAGCCCAGCAGCTGAATACTTGCCTAAATGCATGAGGCTCTGGGTTTGAAGCTCAGCACTACACACAAGAGCCAAAAACCCAACAAAAATCCCCAGAACTTTCCTGGCTGCTTCGTAAGTGGGCAAGACATGAGCTCAGGCACTGGCACTGCTGGGTACCTGGCCCATGTGCAAGGCCCAGGTGAGCCTGGCCAGGGATGTATCTGGGGAAGCAGCACAGGGTGCTCAAAGGCAGGTTCTGGCCTACTCTCAATCAAGAGCACTCATTTCTGGATGAGAAGAGGAAAGGAGTAGGAGCTACAGTCATGCTCACATAGATCAGTAAGTTACTTCTTATGAGGTATCAACCCTGGCTGGCAACTCAGCAAGCATTTGCCAAATTTCTACTTGATGCAGGGGCATTGGTCAGAGAGGTGCTCCAATTAAGGATAAAGAAAGACTCAAGAAGAGTGTCACCAAAACACGGGAAAAGAAGGCTGTCCCAAAGGCATCTGTGGCTATACCGTCCAGAAACTGGAAGAAACTGGTCAGGAAGAAATCTAGGGAACAGGCTGCAATGACAAACCCATTCCAGTGCACAAGCGTTACAAGACTGAAGCAAACCAATGATTCCTGTCTACATCTGTGTATGTGGGGGTGGGGGTGGGGGGAGGGAAGGGGAGCGGTCTTGGAGCTTGAACTCAGGATTTGCGTGCTCTCCTGGAACTTTTTTGCTCAAGGATAGCACTCTATCACATGTATCACAGCTCCCCTTCCAGCTTTTTTGGTGGTTCATTGCAGCTAATAGTCTAATGGACTTTTCCTGTCCTGGCTGGCTTCAAACCACAATCCTTCAGATCTCAGCCTTATGAGTAGCTAGGATTACAGGTGTGAATCACCAGACTTACTTTTTTTCATAGACATAAATCCCTCTAAATTTATCTCCTCTTCCCTTCCTTTCTTCCTTCTTCCCTCCCTCCTTGCTCTCTCCCACTTTCTCTCCTTCCCTTTACTAATGGTATTAAATGTGTGACTCTACTGTACTTGGATGAACAGTGCCTGGCAAGCAGGTGACAATTAGTGCTACTGAAGTATGAGGGAAAGATGCATACACTACTGTAACCTGCCAGACCCAGGGCTTGGCTGAGCAGCATCAGAGCTTGTGAGAGATGAATAAACTGAGAGGGCTAACAGTGAGGTAGAGAAGCTGCAGTCTGAGTCGGTCTAAAGCTAGGCACAAGTTTGGTGACAAAAAGATTATGCTATCTCACATGCCTCACCCACAAAAGTGATGCCTCTTGACCACTGCCTTGAAAAGTTGTTGAAAAAAATAAAAGGAAACAATCTGTACAGAGCTCTGAAACAGGTTCAGGGCTCATCCTGTACTCTTAGCTACCTGGGAGGCTGAAATAGCAAAGACCATGGTTTGAGGCCAGACTGGAAAAACAATCCAAGAGACTCCATCCCAACCAACAAAAAACTTGGCATGAACTCAAGGGCAGTAATGGGAGGGAGGGAATGAGAGGGAAAGAGGGAACAGCTTACACTAAGCAAAAGGAAAGAAATGCACATATCACCTGATGTGGAGGAAATAGTTGTATTGTCAAAGCTCACAGAATTCACAAACATTACAAACCATGATAAACAATTTTTCTTGTGAAGGTTAAAATGTGTTTGTGATAACTATCACAATACTGTGAAATTTGTGAAATTTATATAATCACTTAATCTCAATAAAAATTATTAAAAAAAAAAACTTGGCGTGATGGTGCACACCTGTGACCCTCGCTACATGAGAAGCAAAATTAGGAGAATCTAGGCCCAGGCTGGACCTGGGCAAAACAGTGAGACCCTACTCAAAGAGGAACTAATGCAAAATGGGTTGGAGGAGTATTCAAGCTGTAGAGAGCTAGCCTAATAACTGCAAGTTCCAGAGTTCATACTCCAGTACCACCAACACAGTTCTGAACTCAAAAAGTTTTTTTAAAATATAAAGAACTATGACAAATTCCCCATCAATTTTTCCCCAGTATCTGATGGCTACCACTCCTACAAGGGGCTATAAGCCAAATTTTTCAAATGACTTAAAAATCAATTAATTTGAGGTACAAGAGACCAAATATGCTTTTTTTTTTTTTGGTCAGCCGTGGGGCTTGAACTCTAGGCCTGGGTGCTGTCCCTTAGCTCTTCACCTTGAGGCTAGTGCTCTACCACTTGAGCCTTTTCTGTTTATGTGGTCTTGAGGAATCAAACCCAGGGCCTCATGCATGCAAGGCAAACACTCTACCATGAGCCACCTTCCCAGCCCCTGTAGTATAACTTTTATATACATAATTGCATTTTTTTTTTTTTGGTCGGTCGTGGGGCTTGATCTCTGGGCCTGGGCACTCAGCTCTTCAGCTCAAGGCCAGCGCTCTACCACTTAAGCTACAGCACCACTTCCGGTTTTCTGTTGGTTTATTGGAGATAGGAGTTTCACGCCCGGCAATTGCATCTTTTTGATAAGCTATGCCTTTGAATCTGTCCCCTCTCTCAGGGCATGATCTGGAATGGTACCTACGGGCCCTGCTGGTTCATCAGTGGGGTCCTGGGAGGGCATGGCTCAGGTTTCTACATCACAGAACCCATTCCCAAAGGCTCCTGAGGAGGACAGAAACAAGCAAACAGGAAACTCAAAGCCATGCACATTTGGGCTGATTGCTCTTTCTTACATCTCCCCCCCCCCCCCCCAACGCCCCCTTTTCCCCCCCCCCCCCCCCCCCCCCGCCTCTCCCTACCTAGAGAAGGTCCTATTATGCTCCCTGAGCCTCTCCTGCAAGGAAACTGCCTCTCCCTCCCTGCCCATGTCACTAGTATTCCAGTGCCCAATAACACTGGAGTTTGCTCTCAAGCTCCCAACTCTTTTGAGGCTGAGTTACCTTTCTTGTCTACATTACCAAAGAACTACCACTTAACTAAATTTAACTCTGGAAATCGGAAATTTCTGGTTGCTTGGCTTTGGTCACATACAGACTCATTTTTTTTTTTCCATTCCTATAACTGGTACAGACTCTGAACGGTAGGTAATATGCACAAGTAAGGGACAGGTGAATGGCTGAACGAAGCCCAGGCACAGAGGAATAAAACCCATGGCTAGAGAAGGCTACTGTCAAGTGAAGAGAATATGGATTATTCCAGCTGACTGTTGAGTGAAGAGCACATGGATAGGCTTCCTAAGCTTGCAACTGGCCACATAGTTTGAAGGAAAGGCCTTTTGGCAACTTTCTTCCAGATGGCCACTCGGAACCCAGCTTCAGTCTGAGACTATATAGCAAGGAGCTATGGTATCTGAACTAGTGATTTTTTAGAGTCATGTTCAACACCTGATGCTGAAAACAATCATCAGATACCAAATCCTGATACTTTTTGGCTTAAAAAAAAAAAACAAGCAAAAACTATAGAGTACATACAAACCAATTGGAAAAAGTAATGTGAAGCTCTTTCTCTTACTTCTTGAAATAATTAAAATACAGATAAGCTTTGAGAAGCTAA